AAACCCATCCAAATTGAGTAGTCACGTTCGTTACACGACACGTGCGTAGTACTATGTAACCCGATGGTTCCCTTACATTATTAATCTTTAGAACATTTAAAATTATGGGATTAGATTATGGATGAACAGATTAATGAACAGGTGAATGAACAGATGAACGAGCAGATTAATGAACAGGTGAATGAACAGATGAACGAACAGATTAATTACAGATTAATGAACAGGTGAATTAACAGATGAGTGAACCGATAAATGAATTAGCACAATTACCAGAAAAGTTTGATCAACTTATGAAGCGAACTTCCACTATTGATGACACATTAATCGAAGCTTATAGAGAACCCGAAATAAATCCACGGGAACTTGCATCAAATCCATTAGAAAATGATTCTGTAAAACTGTCCACAAATGAAATTAATGTTGCATATAAAAAGATTCTTGTTAAAAAAAAAAGATATAAAATCTTGTGCTGAATTGGTTATCTTACGTCGGTGATAATTGAAGTATTTGAAATAATTTATTCATTTTCTATTAATTCCTTCAGCCAGATCAGATATTATTATAATATACTGTATAAAATATACTTAGGGCGCCGTGGCGTTCCATTTACTCTTGTTTTCTAATATTCTACATCGATATGTCACATAATAACTTTACATTATTTATACAGTTAAAGTATTTTTAAAAAAAAAATCAACTACAAAGAATAAACAAAAAAGAAGCATATAGAAAGATTTATTAGGGTTGCAGAGCCCCGCTATTAAAAATAACCAAACCCCTTTTTGTTTTAGAGAAGTTAGAACTGTAATAATTAAGTTCTATCTACCTTTAAGAAGTCTCTATTATGTTAACTTCTCTAAAACCAAAAAAGATTTTATTTTTAATGGTGAAGCCCTACGTACAACCCTAATAAAACCTTTTATATACGTCTTTTTTGCGTAAATTGATCTTTTTTAAAAAGTACTTTCAACTGCATAGATAATGTAAAATTAAGTAGACGTAAGCTGCCAATCATACGAATGTCTTCCTATGGAACCTTTTTTCTTCCTTTTTTATCCAATCAAAACGCCTGTTTAAACTTTAATTTATAAGATAAAAATTGTGTACGTATAACATTCAATCAATTGGTGCAGTACATATAAGGTTCTAACACATATGTAAGTACGTACGTACGTATATCCTTATTTTCTTGAGTTATACACACTCCTAAAGGAGGTCTGCTAAAGCGGAGTTAAGATTAGGGTTGCTTTTTGATGCTTTATTAAGAAAACAATTTATGCGGCATATTTTTGACTTTATTGTTTTCATATTCATTTTCTTCATGCTTTCTTTTGTTGCTTTGAATATTTTCAATCTTTAAACTTGGAATATCATCCATTACATATAATTATATTTTTTAAAAATATATATAACTGGTATAGAGAATAAAAACTTTTCAAAATCAAAATGTTTCTTAGCGAATTTCAGATTACAAGAAACCATACATTGGACCATATAAATATTAAAGAATGCGCCTTCATATAGAATTGGTAGGATCGACTATATTCTATCTACATATAGTTTTGAAACAATTTTTCTCTTTAAGTAAATAAAAATATGTCACGCAATATTCTTCGAAAGAAAAATGTTCTTTTGGTGTTATCAATTTCATCTCTGGCAAAACCTTAATTACGCTAGAAAAAAAAGAACAAATCAGATCTCACTCGAATCGTTATATTTTTTCTGTAGCACTAATTTTTATGTACAGTAACCTTTAAATGCTGTCACAAACATAACTAATTATATGCTTGATTCCGGTTTTTCTTATTGTTCTATAAATGCTCATTTTCAAAAGTTAGCTTATATTTAAAGGTGTCTGATTGTAATAAAATTAAGGAATTATATATGTTAATTACAGTAGTATATCAAAGTTGACATAATCATTAATTTTCACTTTTTTTATTTTTTTATTTTTTCTTTTACACGTGTTCAAACCAATATTTCGCTAGTATTAAATTTTGCTAATTTCTTTTTAGAAGGTTGGTTAAAATAAATTCAAAATTTTTAAAAATTTCAACTTTGATTGTGATATTAAATTTAGTGATTTAGAAAAATAAGACATATAACTGCAGAAGACTTTGGGTTGTTTATAGAAAAAGAAATAAAAATGAAATAGTAGTAGTAAAAGTTGTTAATAAAGCAGATACTTAAGAATTAGAGAGATTTTAAACATGAGATTTTTTATTATACTATTGTATATGATCTTAAAAATTTGCTAGTAATTTTAGTTGAAAAAAATTTCACTATTAGTTTATTCTGTTCTAAGATTAAAAGCTTCAGAAGTAGGAATTACCATAAAATTTTAAAATAATAGGCAGAAACATTAATTTAAAAATTGCACCCTCTAAAAATAGCATAGGTGGTTTCAAAATAATGCTCATAGGCATTCTGAAATAATGCACATCTAATAGTAAGTAGTAGTAAAATTTAAAAATTCTTCAGAACTAGGTTTGGTACTATATAAATCTACTTTTTGAGCTTTAAAGGTAAAGTGTATATCGATCATTTATTATATGATTTTAGTGATACAATAGGATTTTATGCATAAAATTAAAATATGCAACTAATAAAAAATTTCAAAACCACTGTCAATTTTTACCAAAATTTGGTAATATACAGATTAAACCTTCTATTTGTAGTAGCAAAATCTTTAGAGATTTTATTTTTAAAAAATATACTTCCTTATACAGTTAAATTTGCTAAGAATACCTAAATTTGCTGTGATTATACAAAAAAACATAGTAAAAATATTTTTAAAACTGGTAATTACCCAATTAGATTTGTGTTTACTATGTAATCTATTACACAAAAAATTTGCCATGCATATCATATAATAAATAATCTATGTACACTCTACCCTTAATAAAAGTTGTTTTTTAGATTGAGATAATTTTAATAGTGATAAGTTATCAAAATAGCTTAGTATATCATCCACAATAGCTTCTTTAAACAAAGATAAACAAATATTACAAACCTTTGAAGAGCTATTACAAATAATATACTAGGCTATTTTAATAAACTTACTATTAGAACTATTTGAACAACAACTTTAATTAAAGCCTGAAAGTATATTTATTTAGCACCAAATCTAGTTTTAAAGTATTTTTATTTATTTACTTTTTATATAAAAAATATATATAATTTTATATTTGTTTCAAAATTATACTATGTATATACTTAAAATAATATATATGTTAAAATAATATACAAATTCCTATTATTTTAAAAATTTATAGTATAAAAAAAAATTTAACTATTTTTGCAGATTTAAAATAGATAATAATTAAAATTGAATAGTTAAATCTGGATTTATATATGGTTAATATTATAATTATCATTTGTTTTTAATTATATAATAAAAAACTTTTGCTATCCTTATTTAGAAGTATTAAATAAAAAGAGTAGCAACTAAGTTATTTGTTTTTTGATTATATTTCAGACAAATACCTTGAGAGAATCTTAATTTGTAAAGGTGAATATTGTTTTAATATGCATTATATATATTCAAAAATATTTTATATTTCTTGCAAAATATATATATTTTCTTTAATATGCACTAGAACAACTCTAAGTTTTATTTGTAATTGTATAGTTTACTGTACTTTAGATTAAATTTAGCTCTTTATTGATAGACTAAATTAATTTTAAATTTTAAATTTTATCTTTACAATTAAACCAATTTCAGTAAAAATTTTATCTAGCTATTATTAAAAAATAAACTTGTAGAGATTGGTACTAAAATAATTAATTTTAAATTTATATTTAGCTAAAATCTATATTTTTTTAATAATATAATTATTATATTTTTTTTTATTTGGCTACTCTGCCCTGTTTATTTAAGATTATATACTATTTAAGAAATTACAAAATTTTTAGCTATAGTTAAACTAATCTAACTAAAACAGAAGCTTATCAAGCTTTTACTCAATATAGCTTGCTTTAGCAGTCATTAGCCTTCTTCTGGGTCTTAATTTGCTAAGAATATTTTTCTTTTAGTTCTTAGCTAGCAACTGCAAGCTATTCACATCGATATTTGCTTTTCTTTTTAGTAATAAAACATAAACACAAATTCAAAAGGCAATGTAAAACAAAGAAAAAGTAAATATAGCAATGAAGTTCAATCTAAATAAAACAAATAAAATCAAAAAAAATATAAAAAACTTGTAATTGTATAGTTTACAATACTTTAAGTTAAATTTAGCTCTTTATCAATAAACTAGATTGATTTTAAAATTTAAAATTTATTTTTACAATTAAACTAATTTTAGTAAAAATTTTGTCTAGCTATTATTAAAAAATAAACTTGTAGAGATTGGTACTAAAATAATTAATTTTAAATTTATATTTAGCTAAAATTTGTATTTTTTTAATAATCTAATTATTATATTTTTTTTATTTAGCTACTCTGCCCTATTTAAGATTATATACTATTCAAGAAATTACAAAATTTTAGCTATAGCTAAACTAATCTAACTGAAACAAAAGCTTATCAAGCTTTTGCTCAATATAATCTGTCTTAGCAATCATTAGCCTTCTTCTGAGCCTTAACTTGCTAAAAATATTTTCTCTTCAGTCCTTAGCTAGCAATTACAAGCTATTTATATCAATATTAAATTTTCTTTTTAATAATAAAACACAAACACAAATTTAAGAATCAACATAAAAACAAAGAAAGAATAAATATAACAATGAAGTTCAATCTAACTAAAACAAATAAAATCAAAAAAGACAAAAATAAAAAAAAAACAAAACAAAACAAAACAAAACAAAGATGATACTATTAAGCCCATATCAAACTATAAAAATTATATATTACTACAGTCAAACCCCTCTATAATCACCTCCCTATAGTCACAAAATTAGTATAATTACAAATTTATTTGTACCAATTATTTATAACTATATAAAAAATACCTCTATATTAGTTATACCTCTTTACAATCACGGTTTTTTGTATTCCAAAGATGTGACTATAGAGGAGTTTGACTGTACTAAGACTAGTTTAACTCTACACTAGTTATTTATATCTATATCCAGAATATAAAAACTTTATCAAAACT